GACACAGGGTGATTTGTCTCAGGATCATGAGTTTTTCATCTAGAAAGAGGTGATAATAAATTCTCTCTTACGGGGCTGATGAGAGCCTGAAGTAAAGATATGGGAAAGAATCTAGCAAGAATCAGACTGTATTAGGTGTTTAGTAACCATACCTGCCTGCTTTCCTTATCCTTCTCCCACATCCACTTTGAAGTAGAGCTTGGGCTGTGAAGCTGTGAGGCTCTGGGTAGCCCAGCAATAGCATGAAGCGGTAACAGCTCTGTGACACTGAGAAGCCACCTACCCCCTCACAGCCCATCTCCTACCCATCCATGAGAGTGATGGTACCCACCTAAAAGGAAGGGGCCACATAAGGAATCACACAAGAAATACTCTTAGCAAAGTTTGAGGTACACAGTTGGTGCTCAATAATTCCAAGCTATTATTATTCCAGACAGTTGATGCTCATTGAGCATCATCACGTGGCTAGGTTTATGTCTCTTGCCCTCAGTGGACACTGAAAAGATTTCCCATCTTATTTCTATCTGGAGATAGTCCACAGGAAGGCACAGGGTAAGGACTGAGTAAACTCCACTTTCTTCACCATGTCGCTCACCCACCTGTTTATTGAGACCTACCCTGCCTGATGCCGCACTCAGTCTTGCAGACAAAACAGACTTTCAGTTCATGGGAAGGAGGACATGGGCCTAATAATCACATGAACAGGTAATCCCAAAGTGTCACAGTGCTAAGAAGGAGAAGGTTTGGGGGATCTGAGTGGAGGCCCCAGAGATGAGCATCTGGGGCCATCCCCTGACAACAGCAGCCCAGACTGGGGAGGGACTAAAGCCAGTGTAGATGCAACAGTGGCCCCTGCTCTTAAAAGTGTATAATTTGGGCAGCCCAGGTGGCTCAGCAGTTTAGCGCCGCCTTCAGCCCAGGGAGTGATCCTGGAGACCCAGGACTGAGTCCCACGTCGGGCTCCCTGCGTGCTTCTCCCTCGGCCTATGTCTCTGCCCCCCTCTCTCTCTCTCTCTCTCTCTCTGTCGCTCATGAATAAATATTTTTTTAAAAGTGTATAATTTGATAAGCTCATTACATGCACACACCTGTGAAACCATCACCGCAGTCAAGACAGTGACTACATCTATTACCCCTTGGTAATCCCTCCCTCTGATCCCTTCGGGCAACACTCTAGCTCAGTTACATTTTCTGAAGTTTATATAAATAGGATTATAAGGTATACTCTTCTTGGTTACAGTTTCTTGTACTTAGCACCATTGTTAACTATTTTAAGATTCATTTATCGTTTGTAACAACAGAGCTGACCCTTGAACAGTACACCATCAGGGGCACTGACCTTCATGCAGTCAAAAATCTTCAGATGATTTTGACTCCCTGAAAACTTTACTAACAGCCCACTGTTGACCAGAAGGCTTACTAGTAACAGAAAGTTGATGAATACATATCTTAGATGTTATATGTATTATACACTGCACTCTTAACAATAAAGTAAGCTAGAGAAAAGAAAATGTTAAGGAAATCGCAAGGAAGAGAAAATACACGGACAGTCCTGTGCTGTGTTTATCAGAAAAAATTCTTGTACAAGTGGACCTGTGTGGTTCAAATCCATGTTGTTCAAGGGTCAGCTGTGAATTTTGACAGCTGTATTTTGAGCTGGAGATACCAAAATCTGTTTCTCTCCTCACCTATTAATGGAAATGTGGGTGCTTTCCAATTTGTGGCTATTATAAATAAAGCTGTATGAACATTCACACAAAAATCTTTACATACACACAAGCTATCACTCCTCTTGGGTGCATGCCTATGGGTGGGAGGGCTGGACTATACGGCAGGTGTTTCCCTCATCTTTTAAAAAACTGCCAAACTGGGGCACTGGGATGGCTTAGGGGTTGAGCCCAGGTCATGATCCTGGGGTCCTGGGATCAAGTCCCGCATCAGGCTCCCTGCATGGAGCCTGCTTCTCCCTCTGCCTATGTCTCTGCCTCTCTCTGTCTCTCATGAATAAATAAAATCTAAAAAAAACAAAAAACAAAACACACACAACCCCCCCCCCCCCCCCGCCAAATTGGCTTCCAAAGAGGCTGTATCACTTCCATTCCCACTGGAAGCATCTGAGTTCCAGTTCTCCCACAGCTCTGCCCACCTGTGGTATGTGGTGTGCTCGGACCTTTTCACGCTGGCCACCATCATTCACGTGTGTGCCATCTCATTGTGGTTTTCATTCCTAAAAACTAATGATGCTGAACATTTTTTCAGGTACATATTTGCTACCAGTAGATCTTCTTTGGTAAAAGGTGTTTAAATATTTTGCTTGCTTATTAATTGAAAAAGAGTTTAACACATCTGTTCTTGACGAAGGTGTGGGCAGGATAGAGGGAAGGCAACCAGGAGTGAAGAAGCTTCCCCAGGAAGGGAGCTGTTATCTCCCTAGAGATTCATTTACTGTTTGTAGAATAAATGGAAAGAGTGAAAAGGGCATAATTACTAGTTCTTGACAGGAAGCTGTCTGTGAGGGGCTGCCCACGATGGGACCTGTGTGTTCAGAGCGGTTTCCTATGTCTGTGAAAGGGGATGGTAGTCAAAATAGTACATCCATGGGGCTGTGCAGATTCAATGAGCTTATGTGTATAAAGCACATAAATAAATAAATAAATAGATAGATAAATAAATAAATAAATAAATAAAATCTTAAAAAAAAAAAGAAGCATTGTGAATCATTCACTGAGCATTTACTATGTGCTGAGCATGGGGCAGAGCAGTTCCAGTTTCCTACCAACAAAATTTCTTATGAGGTTGGCACTCAGGAGGAAGCTGCCATTCTTATCATCATCTGACAGATAAGGAAACTAAGACTCAGAGGCATTTTGTCATCTGCCCAAAGTCACACAGCTAAGAGGGGGTATAGCTGTGACCTGAATGTAGATATGCCTAATGCTAAAGTCTGCGTGCCTGGCCATCAGGCCACACTGCTTCCCACTGTCAAGTCCCTGCCGCCTCCCTGGTACGTGGTCTGAGCTCAGGGGGTGAAGGGTAATGGTGATGATGGTCTTGGAGGGGCAGGTGGGGAGGCATCTCAGGACTTCCTGAGGTCTGTTTCCTTGTTGTCTTTCTGTCTATGCCATTTTAGACTTCCTGACGCTGCCTCTGAACAGCAAAGCTGTGGCTTTGTCTAAGGAAACCGCAACAGCCTAGGATTGTGGTTCAACTGGATAAACTACATGGTGGGAGAGTAAAGGTGAGATTGGGCGGGGGGGCGGGGGGGGGGATCGAACTCAGATCTCTCTATTGGTCTCTGCCCCCAGTTGCTGACAATGAGCTCCTAAATCCCTTGGAATTTCCTGGAGTATCCTTGGTTCTAATGAGATTCCTGGTGGGCTCCGGGATGGGGGTTGCTCACCAGAAAAACCAAGCCATGATTAGAAGCTTAGGACTTTCAGCCCTACCTCCGTTATTGCAGAGATGGGGGGATGGGCTGGAAATGCAGTTAGTGATTGATCGTGCCTATGTGATATGGCTTCCACAAAAATCCCAATAGTGTGGGGTTGAGGAACACATCCACATACCGGGAGGGTGATGTAACCCAACTCCATGGGGACAGGAGCTCCTGTGCCCAGGACCCTTCCAGACCTCACCTTATGTGCCTCTTCATCTAGCTATTTATCAGTATCCTTTATCATATGCTTTATTACACAACAAGTAGGTAAATAAAAGTGTTTCCTTGAGCTATTCTAGCAAATGACTGAACCCAAGGAGTTGGGGAAGCACAGGTGACAATCTCAGACTGGCAATTGGTACCTGAAGTGGAGTGGGTACATTTTTGTGGGACTGAGCCCTTCACGTTGTGGGATGGGATGCTGTCTCTAGGTAGATAATGGTGGAATTGAGTGGAATTGTAGGACACCCAGCTGGTGCCAGAGCATTGCCTGATGTGTGGGAAAACCACATGTGTGGTCAGAGTGCTGAATGTGTGAGTAAAGGAGGGACACAGTAGTGTTTTTCCTATTCATTTGACCAATGGCTTTGGGCACTGAAGATGGACAGGCCAATTCCAACCTGTTGTCCTTCCCGCCAATGCCTGGTATGAATTCTGAGTGTTCTGAAGATGAAAAGATGGCTGCCTTTACCGAATGGAAAGCAGGATGCTTCCAAAATTCTTTAGTGCATCTCCCTCTGTCTAGATTCCCTGCTTCAAGTCTCCTTGCAGAGGCAATGGCATTAACTAACCCCTAGAGATGCTGTCTTTTCCCAAGTCTGCTCAGTCCTCTGAATTACAGTAGTTACCTCCCAAGACCTCTCTGGGCCAACATCTGCCTGCAGGCCTTTCCAGTGGGCAAAGCACCATCACCTCTGCCCCCCATCTTATGTCCACAGCAGACATCCCTCATCAATCATGGAATTTGTTTCTTCTGAGCCTCAGGGACTTTCCCTCTATTTTTTTTTTTAAAGATTTTATTTATTTATTCATGAGAGACACAGAGAAAGAACCAGAGACATAGGCAGAGGGAGAAGCAGGCTCCCTATGGGGAACCTGATGCAGAACTCAATCCTAGGGCCCTGGGATCACTCCCTGGGCCAAAGGCAGACGTTCAACCGCTAAGCCACTCAGGTGTCCCAGGACCCTTCCCTTAAAAAAAAAAACAATGCTTCTAAAGTCACACAGAATTGAAACCTATGATAGCCATCCTTCCCTGGGAGAAGCAGGACCTAGGGCATGGCGACATGCTTTTTTCCTTGCACAGATGAAATTTACAGGCAAATTGCAACAAGGGCCATTTCGAACAATGAAACTTAGAAGCACCCTTGCAGAAGAGAGGAAGGGGACAATACAGAACATGCTCAGGCTCAGGGAACTGTAAGAGGTGGGTGACAGGCCCTGTTTATTTGATATGCTGGCATCAGCTCTGCCTACACTTATTCTTCCCTCCTCCAGAGAGTGCCCCAAATCCCCTGCATGGTCAGTGGGACTGGGCTACTGGGTGGCCACAGCCAGTGCCTACCTTGGATTTGACAGCCAGGATGATCTTGGGCAGGGCCACTATGAGGCACTTGAGGGCGATGGTGACATACTTGAGCACAAAGTCAGCAATGCCCACAATCCACAGCAGGTCGAAGAAGTCCAGTGTCTCCAGGTTGGGCTTCAGGAATATGAGGCTGGTCGGGGGGGGGGGGGGGAGTAAAGGGGAAGATGGTTCAGAGAGTCAGGATGCTCAATGAGGATCCCTGGCCATTGGCAGTTCCTCCTATTCACTCTGGGAGGCTTGTAAGTATTACCCGTAAAAAGAGTACTGAACTGGGAATCGGACATCCTTGTGCTGTTTTTGAATCTGCTACTAACTTGCTGTGTGATCTCAGTATTAGAGATACCCTCAGAGGGTATTTAGCCTCTGAGCCTCTGTTCCCGTGAGGGCTATGCAACAAGATTGGCCAGGAACATCATTAATTAAGGTGTCCTTCAATTTTAGAATCCACAACAGGCTTCAAAAGAGGAAGAAAAGGAAGGTAGTCAGGCAGGCTAGCCAACACTATGTTTGGAGGAGGGGAATTGATGTGTAGGCACTGTGCTAAGCCCTCTATCTATTGTATCTCTTTGCCCTGCACAGTGAACACCGCTTATTCCCACTTTATAAATGAAGCACTGAAGCTTGGAGAGGTGGAATAAGTTGCCTAAGGTCACACGGCATGGTAAGTGTTTGGGCATTAGTATCAGAGAGACCCACAACTTGAATCCAGTTTTCTCCATTTATTGAACCTTGGGCAAATAATGTTATCTCTGTAAGCCTCAATGTCTTCATCTGCAAAATGGGACTCATTCCCTCCTTCATAGTGTTATTGGTGGAAATCAATGGGATAATAGACACCTATGGACCCCGCCGTGCAGCAGTGACAGTAAGAGCAACTCTACGAGGTAGGCACTGTTACAAACCCATTTTGCAGATGAGGAAACAGAGGCACAGAAAGTTAAAGTAACATGCACAAGGTCCTACAAATACTAAAAGATAAAGGTGAATTCAGACCCAGGTATCCTGGCTGTGGTTAATGCTTTGGATCTTTTTCTATAGCAGCCATACTCTATACTCTATACTTGGAGTATGTAAACCTATTTTACTGATCTGTGACCAGGTAAGTTAACTTCACGCTCAGTTTTTGTACTTGCCCTGTTAAACACAGACAACAAGCCATTCTGCACCTGACATTGGTCCATGGACCATGCTTTGAGTAGCACTGCTCTCTACCACCTGAGAATGATGTTGTTCATAATAATAATATAATAGCTAAGTTATCTTGGGTGTTCACATCATGCCGGTCTATTCTATACACTTTACATGTCTTAACTCATTTCATTTTCCCAAAGACTCTATGAGGCAGGTTCTGTGATTATTCCAATCTGTGCTGGAAAAATTGGAGTCCTAAGAGATACAGTCACCTGCCCATGGCTCTTGATGAGAATGGGAGCCAGGATAGGAACCAGCACCCAACTGTGCTGGTCCACTCATTTTTCCTCCTGCTTGATTCAAGGCTCTGAATGAAGGCCACATCAAGTCCTCTCTGTGCCCCCATAAAGCAAGGAACAGTGCACACAGCCCAGCGTGGATGCTTTCTGAATGCTTCTGCTATATTCTGCTGGGCTGGCAGGAATTAGCACAAACTGGGCTCTCTTATTATAGCATCCTAGCAATGAACCAGTCTATTTCTCACTTTTATTTTTAAAAATATATTTCTATTTATAATAAAGATCCTCAAAGAGGAAGAATGGAGCAAAATCAATAAAAACCAATCTATTTTGGCAACCACTCCTGATTCCTTCTGTGTCCCTTTCACGTTCTAGTCTTGTCTCGGGTGGACACCTCACCTCTGGGTTTGAACGGCCATCCACGTTATAGCCCAGGGACAGGCTGGCAGTCCTGGGCACTCTCTACCTCTGCTCCTGTCCTACCCTGGGACCTCAGGATGGTCGGCTGACTTCCATGCTCTGCTTCTCTATTACACTTCTGTGATGGCAATACAATGAGATCTGCCGTCCACCTTTATCTGAGACACCAGCTGGTATTAGATTCACCTGTCTGGGTTATAGTCCACCGTCTTAAGTGTTTTTTCATGTTTTTGCTTTGGGAGGAGAGGCAGGGCCAGTATTTTTGCAGATTGATCGCTAAGTCCACTTTTTTTTTTAATTTATTTATTTGAAAGAGAGAGCTCAAGCACATGTGGATATGGGGGCAGGGGAAGGGCAGAGGGAAAAGAGAATCTTAAGCAGACTCCACACCCAGGGCAGAGCCTAATGTGGGGCTTGATCCCAGGACCCTGAGATCACGATCTGAGCAGAAACCAAGAGTCAGATGCTTAACGAACTGCACCATCTAGGTGTCTCTAAGTCCACTTATTTCTAATGTTTGCTATGAACTTTAATGGACTGATGTATTTTATTGTCAGTTTCACCCTTTGTTAGGCATCACTGCCAACAAGGACGGTAATTCACCATGAAATAATATCAATCATGATACGATTATGATATATCAATGTTTCAGTTTACCCAGTACTTTTCATGTATTCTAACATCTGGTCTTCCGAATAATTAGCCTGTCAGGTGGATAAAGCAAGAATAACCTGGTCCTGGTTTCACAAGTGAGGAAACTGGCATAAGGAGTTTCCATTATTTGCCGAATGGCACAAAGCTGCTAAGTGGAAGGATGCTGATCGTCAGATTTCAAATGCTAGGAAGATTTAATCTCCTAGGAAGAAGAAGATTTAATCTCCTGTCAAGGACTGCCTACCAGGACGAAGACTCATTAGGAAAAGCTTCTTTAAGCCTCAGTTTCCCCACTTGCAAAATGGGGCCAGTAATACTCCGCTGGGTCACTGGGAGGTAAAATAAGGTAATGGCTATGGATATTACTTACAAACACACTCTAGACCACTGACATTATTATGGAATGGGGCTGAGCTCTGTTACTTTTCTCCTAAGCTTCTCTTTCTCTCTCTCTCTCGCTCTATCTCTGTTTCTCTCTCTGTGCTGCCAATTTGACTCAGCCCTGGTTCGATGGGGGCACAGAGGTCTAAGCCTGCGAATGTAATCATGCCCAGAGATTGGCATGAGCTGGAAATTCATCCAAGTTTCTGGGAAACTCTACCTCCTCCACCCTCCACCCACCAGGACCTTGATATTCTGGGCCAGACAGTAATGCAGTGTGGGATGTGTGTTGATGCCTTAGAACTAAGTCCCCAAATTGCTTTTATGGGGTGGTCCCAGAAAGTGGAGAAATTGCCCATTCCTCAAAGTCTATTTTTAAAAGAGACATACATGATTTGAAAGTTTGGCTGGAGTTTCAGCCTACAGGCCCTCACTGGCCAATCCTCTCCCACCTACCCACCATGTAGTTACTAGAAAGTGTAAAATCACACATGTGGCTTACGGTATATTTCTACTAGAGAGCTCTGCTTTAGCATGCATGTATACAAGAGGGTGGAATTTAAAACTTACATGACACAGAGCCACTGCATTATTCTCAAGTGAAGGAGTTGTGTCCTAAGCCCCACAAAGCATCCCCACACGCACTTTTCCACTAGGGGCCAGACCCCTCTGCTCACCTGTTGTACAGCTGTTGAGAACTGAATGTATAGAGCACATATAGGGTGTTTCCTGCCAGAAAGGCCAAGATCCATAAGATGACCAGCACCGACCTCTTCTCCTGGAGACAAAGCAAGAGATTTGTAGGGATGCTGCAATACCAAAGGTGCACACAACAAAACATTCCAGAACGTTCTCTGACAAGTGGAAACTTTTCCCTTTCTCAAAGGTTTGGAAGAAGCAGGGCTGATGATGAAGGGAAGGGCACTGACATCTTCCCACCCTGCTAGAACCCAAGGGGTGGTCCCAGAGAAGGTGACAGAAATGTAGAGCCTGCTATGTGAAAAAAGCAAGAAGGCTCTGTGGTTAGCAGCACAGATTCTGGAACCAGATGACCTGGGTTCAGATCCTTGATCTGTAATCACAGGACTGGGCAAGTTACTGAAACGCTCTGCATTTCCTTCTCCTCATCTGTAAAATGGATACATATGAGACTCCATTATAGAGTTATAAGAATTGATATCCACTAAACGCTTAGAACAGTACATGCATGTAGTGAATGTTAGTTCACATTCATTATAAGGACCTGACACACACAGCAGGCAAGCAGCTCTTGCTCAAGGGCACGTATTTTGAGCCTCAGTATGTGAAGATGGGAGTTTTGTTAAAGATTAAGTAAAATTTATAAATGTGAACTTCCAGTCTGGTATGGGCTCATGTTTTGAGCTCACTAAGTGGCAGGATTCAGACTTTACAACGCAACACTAGATTCAGATCTATAGGCTAGTGAATTCTGCTCTTGCTTTTTCCAGCCTGGACAGCAGGACTACTATCCCAGCCTGACCATTCAACACAGGGCCACAGTTATAGGGTTAAAATTCAAGCTTACACACATGGCCAACAAAATCTTTCCCCAAACTGTCCCTATTCTTTCTCCAGTCCCATTTCTGATTAGACTCCAGGAATACAAGCTGGAAAACCTTCTTGGTTTCCTGTTTCCCAGCAGCTTCTCAGCCTGAGAGCCATCCCAGGGAATTTCTAGAGGAGGCACGGGGCAGGGTATGCTCCTGCCCATGTGCTCTGGGAGATACACACAGACCCCTGTCTGCTGATTCCCCAAAGCTCATCTTTTCCTGGATCAGGGCGGCTGCATTGCTGGAATAAGATGAGGTCATAACTTTCTCAGTGGAACCTTCTCTGTGGTTTGGTAAATGCTCCACTGTCTCCAGACACAGCTCAGTGCCCCATGCATGGTTATAGAGCACATTTCCATAGAGGAGACAAAATAAATGCATCTCCATCCACCTATTATTCCAGGAGTGGTCAAGGTTAATAACCCTAGAAACCACCTCTATCCAACCAACTGCTCTTATCAATGTGAATAATCTGCAAGGCAGCCCTTATTACGCCAATAAATAATAGATTCCAGCTTAATCCCCCTGTAAATCCAAATCAAAGGTGGAATACAAAGAGAGAATTAGCAATGCCCTGAAAAGCCAAACTCTGAAGGACAAAGGGGAGAGTTCTCTAGTAATAAGCTGATATTTCACAGAAAATAGGCAACACCAGCTGTGTCTTCAGAGGGTTCAAGGATGCCTACCTAGAAAGTCTATTCATGGATATTGGAATCCTCTGACCACTAAAATTTAAGCCAAGGCACCATTTGGAATGTTACTGCATATGAGAGCCAGCCCCAAAAGTGTCCCACTCTGGTGTTGATCAACCTGCTGTTCTAATAGCAGCAGAAGGGAGTTTGCATTTAGAAGATAAGACCAAGGGTCAAGAAGAACCTCTGGCTCCACGCCTAGCTCTGGACCTCAATGTGCTCATATGTCAAATGGAGACTGAGCTGCCCTCTGTGCCTTATAGAGGCCCAGATGCTTTTAAGAAAGCACCAGAGAATGACAGAGAGAAGATGGGTCAGAGAGGATGGTGGCTATTAGGGGATCACATGCACGGCAAAAGGCATAAGCTTGTTAAAAGTAGCTCAATTAAATGTCTCCTATATGCCAGGTCCTATGCTAAACATCTCCTAAGCACTACATCATTTGGTCCCCTCTATGCATGTATAAGATTGGTGTGAATGGTTCATTTTCCAGGGTGGCACCAGAGACTGAGATCCCCAAGGTAACCTATCCTAGGGACTGCACGCAGGTGGCTGGAGGAGATGGGATTTCAATCTGGGGGGGAGCACAGCCCATAGGCCCAAGGCCTGAGTTCATAGCCGGACACTGCCACTTTCACAGACTATGTGATCTCATACACAAGACACTTGATGTCTCTGAGCCACTATCTCCTCATTGGGAAAATGAGGTAAGAATGACTCTGCCTCCCTCCTGGGATGCTGGGATAAATCTGCAAGATGAACTATGCTGCTGCCTGCCCAGCTTTTTGTGTGTGGCATGGTTAGTGCTGAGTGGGGATTAGATGGGAATTCAGGATGATGGTGGTGAGGCTGGATGGTGAAGCTGGTGAACCAGCAGCGCCAGTGGGATGGACTCAACTGCGAGAACAGCCAGACTGATAAGGGTGCTATGGGCATGTCAGGGAGACACTGCTGTTCGGAGGGTGTGGGGTAAGGATGTGGGGATCTGCCCGGAGGTGGCAGGCAGAAAAGTGGCCTCCCAGAGATGTGCCATCCTACTCCCCCATAACCTCCAGATATGTTAGGGGAAGTTCGATTGCTGATCAGCTAACCTTAAGATGAGGAGATGCCTGGATTTTCTAGCTGGGCCTGATGTAGTCACAAGAGTCCCTAAAAGTGGAACTGGAGACAGAGGGGAGAGGCCCAGGGACAGGTGGGCACAGAGGTGCAAAACTGTGGGCACAAAGGAGAAGGAACAGGGCCATGAACTACAGAATGTGGGTGACTTCTAGACCCTGGGAAAGGCAAGGCAAGGGCATCTCCTCTGAACCCTCAGAAAGAACAGTCATGTTGACACCTGATCATCACCTGGAGAGACTCCCTTCAGACTTCTGATCCACAGAACTATAAGGGAGTAAGTCTGTTGTTTTAAGCCACTGAGCTTGGAGTCACATGTTACAGCAGCCTAGGAACCCGGTTGGCCAGGTGACTCACCTTCAGAGAGACCTGTTCTCGCAGCGTGGAGTTGGCATAGGCAAAGGTGCTGGCCATCCCGATGCACACGGCAATGCCTGCAGGACAGAAGAGGTCCTGGCTGCCCGCTCAGACTCATCAGGCCTGGCCCCGGCTTACCAGGGAGCAGGGATTACCAGGGATTAAAAAGTCACTACCCTTTATTCTTTCACGCCAGCCATGCAGCAGCAGAAGTTTCTGTAGGACACACAACAACCCCCACTGGACAGAGGACAAAACAGGCTCAGAGAAGGCGAGTGACTCGCCCCAGGTCACACAGCTGGTTGACCAGGATCGCAACCCACGTCTGACTCAAAATTGCATATTCTTGAGCACCATGCACCATGAAGGCCTCTACAGCCTTGCCTGGTGCTTGGGATAGGGGGCCCCTGACCTGGCAGATGAAGCCCCACCCCGGCTGCCACACCTGTGACCCCCTTGGACTCACCGAGCTTGTGTTGGAAGCACACTTTGGCCAGGAGAATCAGGATGAAGGGCAGGCCTTTCTGGAGCCAGCAGACCACGGCCTTCAGCTCGGACAGGGCAGGGGCGGGCGTCCCCGGCTGCTCGTCACCCCCCTCATCCGAGTGGGCACGATGGTCCCCGCCCACATGCTGCAACAGCGAGCTCCCGCGGTGGCCACTGTGGTGGAAGTGGTGGTGGGGCTGGCGGTGGTGATAGGTGCCCCCCTCGCCCCGGCTCCCGCCCTCCTCCCTGGATGCAGGCATCTGGATGAACACGTCCCCGCCTCCAGCCGACGCCCCCAGCACCAGGCTGGACGGGAATGGGGTGGCAGGCAGGCTGCCTGCTGGGAGGCCAGGGAGGCCGGAGAAGAGCGCAGGTGGGGAGGCCGACTCTGCCTTCAGACTCTCAAAGACACCGCCTTCATCCACGCTCGCCTCGGAGCTGAGTGCTTGGCTGCGATTTCTGGGCCAGGAGGGAAAAGAGAGCCCCACCAAGTCAGGTGGAGGGAAAGACAGCACCCCAGTGGAGAATGGGGGGCACAAATAAAGGTATCAATATTGTTGCAGGCTGAATTGTGTCCCTGCTCCCTATTTCTATGTTGAGGCCCTAACTCTCAGACATCAGAATAGTGACTGTATTTAAAGATAGGGTCTTTGTAGGGGTGATTAAGTTAAAATGAGGTCATTAGGGTGGGTCCTCATTCAATATGACTAGTGTCTTTATAAGAGGAGATCAGGACACAGACACACCCAGAGGGAAGACCACGTGAGGATCTGGGGGATAAAAGGAGGCCATCCACAAGCCAAGGAGAAAGGTTTCAGAAGAAATAGACCCTGCCCACACCTTGATCTCAGACTTCTAGCCTCCAGAACTGTCACACAATAAATTGCAACGTTTAAGCCACCCACAGTGCGGTACCTTATCACAGAAGCCCTGGCAAACTGAAACAAATAATACTAGCAATAGGGTCATAATCTTCACTGAAAACTTACAGTGTGACACGTACTTTTCTAACGGCTTCTCGTTGATGAAATCATGAAACCCTCCTATCAACCCTGTGAATTAGGTACTAATATCACCCCATCTTACAGATCAAGAAACTGAGGCACGGAGAAAGTAACACATCCTGAGTCACATAGCTGGGAGGGGACAGAGCAAGAGAGATTCAATTACCTCCAGAGCCTGCTTTCTTCACCACTCTACACAAAAGGCTGCACAGATTCTATGATTCTAGAATAACCTCAGGAACCCCTGGTCCTGTAATCTTCAATGACTCCCAGTTTCCAAGAGGTCCCCCAGCCTTGGTCATAGCTGGTATTTGGAGGGCAGCAGACAATAATTTCAAGAAGACTCAACAGAAAAGCCCACCCTTTCTAGGGGCCTTAGCAACCCTGCACTCACTGTTCTCATCTGAAGATGATAAAAAAAAAAAATTCATGGATAGAATTCCTATGGGATCAAATTTAGAACAGCCTTTTCTTAAGATTTTATTTATTTATTTAACAGGGACAAAGAGCACAAGCAGGGGGAGGGGCAGAGGGCGAGAGAGAAGCAGGCTCCCTGCTGCGATGCAGGGATGGAGCCCATGGATCCTGAGATCATGACCTGAGCCACCCAGGCACCCTCAGAACAGCCTTTTCAACATACTCAGCACATAGTAGGTGCTCAATACATGGGAATGATGTTCTCTAATCCCTAGGGAGAAACCTCCAGGGCCAACTGCCTTCTGTAGTCCTAAGCGCAGCCTCCCATACTAGAATTCAGCAAAGGATTCTGTGGCTCTTTCAGAGCCATTGCTGGAGGAGCAGAGAGCCCAGAGTTACCCCCTAGCAGAATGGAGAGCCCTGAACTGGGTACATTTTCCCATGAGCACCATGCCCTGGAGTCAGGAGGTCATCTCTCTTGGGTTTGCCTTCTTTTCAAATGGGAGCATGATGTGGAAACTCAGGGTATATAACAGATGCAAGTGGAGCTGATTTGCTGGGTGTGTATGTGTCAGGGAGAGGGGCAAAGAGCCTCCCTCCCCTCTCTCTTCCCGCCAAGGCGCCTCCCAGACCCCTATGGTACTTAAAATATATCATGACCTTACTGAATGTGTGAGCTGAGTTCCACTTATCCTCTGGACCCCACAACCAAGGGCACACAGTAGGTATTCAGTTAAATATGCGCTAGCTTTCATCCAAGCACATCACACTAGACTCACTATAATCTACTGTCCACTCAGAGACCCAGATGTATTGTCAAAAAATGCATATTTGATTAGTTTGCTATCCCACTAAAAGGACTTCCCATTCTAAATTTCTTCTTGCAGGCTCAGATAAACATTATACATAGGGACTAGTATCATTCCCATTTTATGGATAAGGAAACTGAGGCTCAGAGGGGCAAAACTGTCAGATGTCCTGGACTCTGTGGCCTCAAACTCAATGTCATCATGTGCCTTGTTCTCATTACCCAAGGGCTTCTTACTACAGGGTCTTTGCATAGACACCAGGATGTCTTCCCAGCCCATCCCATCTGGGTAACCTACGCCTGCCTATTCATCAGATTTCAGCTAAAATCCCTCTTGCTGGGTGGAGCCCTCCCTACCTCCCAGACAATGACAGTGTCCTTGTTTCTTGTTTTCACTGTACCCTAACTCACTGCATGGTATTGATCCCAAGTGTCAATTCACTGCTTACCTCTGGCTCTCAACCCTGGATGCCCACTGTAACTACTCAGGGAAGCTTCTGAAAGATACAGGGGCCCAAGATCTAGTGTTAACCAACTGAATCAAAATTTCTGGGTGAGCCTTGACATCTCCAGTCCGTGAGAGCCCTGTAGGTGATTCTAACGTTCAGTCAGCACCAAGAACAGCACTTTAGACTGGGCCCTGCTCCAAGAGGTTGAAGATCATGATTGTTCTTAACTGTGTCACTCCTGCCCAGCACAATGCACTGGGCACACAGCATGGTCAATAAATACTGTTTCAAAGAATGAATGAATGGGCAAACTCAAAGCTCTGAGAAGGCCTGCAACTGAAGAAAAAAATCAATTCTGTTGAAACTTGGCGTTACCCAACCTTATTTGACAATGAGATTCTTTTATTCTGTGGGAAACCTATTACAATCTTATAGGACACTGGTGAAACCCAGCAGGGGAAATGGTGGCCTGGAGAAATCTTGGGGTTGGCTTCTCTAGCTCCATAAACTTGAGGAAATTATCATAAATCTGGTGCAAGGGAGGGATTGGAGATGGCTACCCACTCTCCCACCCCATAGCCCATGCCTGCTAAAAACCCAGCAGATGTATGTCCTACTCCCTTGGGCATGGGATAACAATAAAAACAATATTAATAACAACAACAACAGACACCATGGCTATGACCCTCAAGGGGCCGTGAGCTTTTTCTGCACATCAAGAAACTGAGCTCAGAAAGCAGGAGTCCTGGCAGGTGCCCATGCTGACCCACAGAGGGGCCAGCCTCTCTCTGCCATTGGGCCCTAGAAAGCCTTCCTGGCCCCCTTGAGCTCACCAGTACTGAGTTTACTGGGCTCAGGGGGCCTCTGGTACAACCAGGGAAGACTCAACCCACCAAAGAGCTTTTTATAGCTGGCCTCCCTTCCCTGGGCCTCTCCTCAGTATCCAGCTGAGATTTCAGCCTAAATGGGAAAGAATATTCCTTGGAGGACAGAGGCTGTGCTTCCACCTTAACTATTTCAGGGTCAGAATGTGAGGCAGCCCAGGAGGAGAAGTGGATCCATCCAGATAGGATGCAGTCATAATGTGGTGACTCAAAGTATGGGCAATGGGCTGGGGCCTGAATCTCACTCAGCCTGCTGCTTCCTGGCTATGTGACTTCAAGTAACTTACTTACCCTCTTTAAGCCTCAGTTTCCTCAACTGTAAAAATAATGGTAAAAGTAGTCCTGACCTGAAGAGGCTAATGTGAGGGTGGCACATGGTAAGCACGCAATATACAATGGCCATTATTTTTCTGCTGTCGTCTTTAGGAGCAGACAGCGAGTCTGTGTTTCAGAGGCTAGAGAAAAGCTCAAGAGGCGCGATTATGTGCCAGATGCCCTGTTTGTGCATTTCCATACTCACTTGCTCATTTACAAACAACCCTGTTTTCTTATCTGCATTTTATGGATGGAGAAACTGAGATCTGGGGATGGAGTCGCTTGCCAAACGCACCACGGGTGGGAATGGCTAAGCTGGGATTTTGGCCAGTGTTCCTCCTTGTAGAATGGGCAGTGTTGATGTAAAACTCAGTCTTCAGGGGACTGGTAGACAGTCTGTGACTTCATTGTCAACCTTGGGCCTGCAGGGGACCCGGAATGGGATGTGAAGGTGGAGAAGTTCAGCTGCCTGCTTCTCGGAGGTATGTGCCAGCACAGGCAGTGTCACAGTCTGGGAACAGACCTCCATGGTGCGTACTCTCCTGGCCTTCACTAGACAGTAATTCTAGCACATGAATGTTTTCGCGGATTTTTCTATTTGTCTCTTAGGCATCTGCTAATGAGAGGACCAAATTAACAGTCAAAGTTGTTTATATCCCCAACCACTTCCTTACCTGACTCTGACACACCCAGCAAAAGTTGCCCCTGCCCTAAGCCCCCCAGGGCCAGGTACCAGAAAACTCGAGAACACCCCTATAGCCTGAGCCCACTGACATTTTTCACACAAACCAATCCTGAGTGTTTTCCCCTGCCACACAATAAAAGCTGTGGCCTCTGCTTTCTCCCTGTTTCTTTCTGCCTCCTGACTAGACTGCCTCCCAGCTGCCTCCTGCTTCCCCGTGAGGGCCTGTCTAGTAAGGTGTGCCCCACTCTCTTGGGAAGTGTAAGTAACAAAAATCTTTCAGTGCCATTAGCTTCTCTATGTCCTCACTCACTCACCTCTGTAAGGTAAAATCTGTGGGAACAATCATTGATGCAATGACTCAGGTGGATTGCCTGTCACACAGGCTTTAGGAATTACCCTAAATGCAATAGCAAGCTGCTGTGCATTGAGGAGTATATGCCATCACTGGGCAAAGCTGTTTCCAACCAGATCTCCTTTGCTCATCTCACAAGTAACTCTGAGAGGCAGGTCTCATTGGATCGAGATTTGGATTGCTGCAGACCAACTGAAGCCCAGAGCCTCCAGATGGAATGAAACCAGGAGAGGTCCTACCTACCTTTCAGGTGGACCGTTATCCGTGTTACTGCTGTGGCGCCTCTGCATTTTCCTTAAGACCTGAAAGTCAACAGAGGGCATGAGCCAGAGTCTCTCAACATTCCCATTGCTGGCTGGACTGCCAAGGCAACTGTAAACAAGTATTATTACTCCTACCTCGCATCCCCAGAGCTGACATTCTGCAAACCCTGCTTGCATCTGTTAGGTCATCGGACCCTTAATTCAACATTCAGTCCCAGTGAGGAAAGTGTTATTACCCCATCTGGTGGATGCGGATGTTGAGGCCAAGAAGCGGAGAAAGTCCTCATGTGACAGGCAGCGGTGAAATGTGTGGTAAAGAGGTGCTGGTGCTGGAGGATGAGAGTATAAGGCGTGGTTTTGGAATTGATGCTACTCCTAACCTTCCATGTGACCTTGGACCAACCAGTTACTTCTCTGTGGCTTCAGATTCTCCATCTATAAACTGGGATGCTGGGGGTATGGAGTGACTGAAACCCAAAGCTACCTAAGAGCCCTCACGTTTAATAAAGTGGGAATAAGGATGTGAATTCTCATGGACACATGTCACCTGGTTCACTGTGAGGAGCCACATGGACTTCAGAACTCCATGTTGATGACGCCTGAGGTGGGCCTTCAGGGCTCGGATGGGGTTGTGACCACGAGAGTCTAGGGAAAGTAGGCCTCTCCCTCCTCTTCCTCCAGAAGGTGCACAGGTCACCAGAGCTTATCAGCCTCCAAACCCTGGAGGGAACAGAACACTTCAGGGAACAATCTGTGGGATAGCTTGAACCTGAGAATGTCTTAGGGCATTGTGGGTAGCTCTAAGCACATGGTCCTATCTGCTCCTTACATCTGGCTAGCCTCTCAATGATCCCTCTTTAGGACTCCTGAGGATACTGTGTTAACATATTTTGTCCTATTGTCAAACTATGAGTCCTGATTGGGGAACACAGAAAATATGTATTAGGCCCTCTAATGGCTTCTGATTATAACCAGAATAAAATCCAAACTCTGTTCATTGCTTACAGGTTCTGCCCAAAGCAGCTTCACCCGTGTCCAATCTCATTTTCCTCTACTCTTCCTTTAACTCCTCCCCACCGGCCTCACTGGTCTTTTTGATTTTCAAACATGTGGGCTTGTCTCTGCCTCAGGGCCTTTGTACTTGCTGTTCTCTGTTCCTTGAATGCTGTTCCTTCTGTGTAGCTCCCTCAGGTCAAATGTCACCTCCTCCCAGAAGCCTTCTCCTCACATCCTCCTGAGTCACCATATGTTGCCCTGTTTTATTTATATTACTTATTTACTTACATGTTTGCTTATTTATGATCCTTTAGAATGTAAATGCCACAGAAGCAGGGATCCTATTGTCTGGCTCACTCTTGTACATCAGCATCCAGAACACTGCCCCGCACAGAGTTGCATTCAACAAATAAATATTCAACAATTTATTCAATACCTATCTGTGGGTCTCAGTTACCTTTTTGTATATCCCTTCCTCCTTCCCTAAACTTTCACCCTAGAAAATAAAAGCTGTAAACTTTCCATGAATAGATTGAGACTTGAATTTTTTTTTATTTTATTATTATTATTATTATATATATATTTTTTTTTTTGGTAACAGGACCAAAGATGGTATCTTTTAGTTAAGGACATCATAATTGGTTGTTGAATGATTTCCTAATCCTGACCACCTTCTTCTAGGGACAGCACTGGCATTACTAGGACCACTGATTAGAGATAATTCACTGGCTAAACCTCTCTTCTCTTTGGGAAAATCTGTTAAGAGACGGGTCAGTAAAAAAAAAAGAAAAGAAAAGAAACGGGTCAGTAGCACCATTTTCACATCATGGAGCAAAGCTCATTATGTAAATATTTTTCAAGAACATGCAAGGTCACCTTAACGCCCCCTCCCAAGGATTCCCCATCACTTGCAGATCCTTGGGGAAAATAAAATACAGCCTCTCCAAAATACAAATCTCAAATCTGACACAGCTCCCTAAATCACATGCCCAAGATTCTACTTTCAGATGCTCGCTCTCGAGGGGCTTCAGATTCACTGTTGGGAGCAGACGACACACAATCATCCCATTATTGCATTCAGGAATAAAATTCTGCACGTAAAATGCCTCCGAATGACTGAATGAAACGCCCCTTAAGCCTCCGCTCCATTCATTGCACCACATCCCCGTGAAGAATCACCCTGAGACTTCTCAATGCACGCTTTGTTCTAAGTTGCGCCCCCAGGCCGGAACACGACTGCACCGAAAGGCACGCGAGGGCATCTCCTGCGTCCCCGCCCGGGCAGCCGGCAGGTGCGCTTGCGGAACAAAGCCGCGAGCATCTCTCATCCCCGCAACCGACGTTCAGCACAAAACGCCCCAGGACTGCAAGGGCAGGCGGCGACGCGGACCGTTCTGGAGGGGAAAAGCGCCTTCTCTTTTTTACCTGCCCGGACAATTCAGCAATCACAGCGGCATCATTCGCGTCCTCCCAAGCCAATCACTCGCGCGGCCCGGGGAGCACGTGACTTCCGAGGGCTTCCGGCCTCCGGTCGGGTTTTCTCGCAGGTGGCCGCGGCCCGGCGCTAAGACCGCGGCGCGGCTCCTCCCGCGGCGCGCGCGCGATTGCCCGCCCCCTTTCCGCGGCTCAGCCAATAGGAGGCGGCCGCTTCTCAGGGACCAATGGGGAGGGGCCGAGCGAGGCAGGTGGGCGACGCGAGCCGAGCGGAGGCGGGGGGCGGGGCGCGGGGCGCGGGGCGCGGGGTCACGTGGGGCGGCGCGGGGAGGCTGCCGGGAGCTGGCTGGGCTGGAGGCCGGGGGGCCGGCGCCCGCCGCGGGGGATGGGGCCGCGGGCCGCCTAGGGGCCATGCCGCCCGGGCTCCGGGCCTGCCCCGCTCCGCGCCCCGGCCGCCGCGCCCCGCGTCCGCGCCGGCATGGTGAACCTGGCGGCCATGGTGTGGCGCCGGCTCCTCCGGAAGAGGTGGGTGCTCGCCCTGGTCTTCGGGCTGTCGCTCGTCTACTTCCTCAGCAGCACCTTCAAGCAGGTGAGTGGCCGCCCGCCCGCCGCCCGCCCGCCGCCCGCCCGCCGCCCGCCGCCCGCCCGGCTCTCCTCCGGGGCGGGGGGAGCCGCCTCTGCGGCCGCGCTGCGGGTGTGTCCGAGGGGCCGGTGCGCCGGAACCGAGACCTGCCCGTTCCGTTGGTGCCGGAGCTAGAAGGCGCTGCCCGGCCGGGGGCCCCGCGGGGACTCGAACCCAGGTCTCCGGGCCCCGGGCCGGGGCTGCCAGCCTTACTGCCTCCGTGTGCCTTCTACCTGCCGGCCCCTGAGCGTAGAGGGGCGTGCGTTTCTTGCGTCGCCCCGCCGGCAGTCGTGGGGAGCGGGCGTCCCCACGTGGCAGCGGGGGAAACGGAGGCTCGGCGGGTCGGAGGTGTGGGTAGCCAAGCTGCGAGGCCAGCGCTGGCGTGCCGGGCCTGCGTTTACTCTGGGGGCTCAGTGACCCAGCTGGGAGACCCAGCAGGACCCGCGAGGTTCCCTTTCTGTGCGTAACTTGGTTGCATGAACTTTTCTTTTTTTCTTTTCCTCTTTTGCTTTTCTTTTTTTAAGATTTTTATGTATTTATTCACGGGAGACATAGAGGCAGAGACAGGCCGAGAGAGATGCAAGCTCCCTGCAGGGAGCCGGATGCGGGACTCCATCCCGGGACCCGGGATCACGACCCGAGCCCAAGGCAGCTAGCTAGCTGCTCAACCACTGAGCCACCCCGGCGTCCCGCATGAAAATCTCTGGTCACCTCCCCATCCACTTAGTTTTTCTCCCGTGTGAGAATTTCTGGAAGAAAAGGCAATGTGGGAAGTGTGACCAAAGCGTTGGAAGTTTGTTTAGGAGTCGGGTCTGAGCCTTTTCAGTTTTTAGGGTGAACATGCCCAAAGTGTGTGGGTGCAATACCGGCTTATGCTGTTGCTCTGATGGTCTCAAGGATCACGATCATAAGTAAAATATATTAATGAACATAAAATAAACTACGTGGTCACCTTAGTTTAATAGGATCAGTGGAGGAGCTGCAGAAGGGGAAGATGCGGAGCTGTACCCCACCTCTTACCTTAGGATGTGTTTGTGACATTCAAGAACTAAGTGCTTCTGGGACTGGTGCTTTCTGCGACCTCACAGTCACCTGCTTGTTGTCACGTGTTTTTCCTTCTCTGTCTGGCAGACCTCTGAGTATTCTAGTGAGCCAGGACTCAGATCTCTGTATTCCTCCCTACCTGACCCAGGCGATTTTTGGGCCGTTGTTTAAATTCTAGCTGTGTGCTCTTGATGCCCAGATTTGTAATTTTAGCCTAGATCTATCCAGAAAACCCCCAATTCTTCTATCTAGTTGCCTGCTTGACGTCTTTTTGAATGTGTCAGCGGTTTCTCATTCTTGGCCAAAACAGGACTCTTGGGACGCCTGAGTGGCTCAGTGGTTAAGCGCCTGCCTTTGGCCCAGGGCATGATCCTGGAGTCCTGGGATGGAGTCCCGCATCGGGCTCCCTGCATGGAGCCTGCTTCTCCCTCTGCCTGTGTCTCTGCCTCTCTCTCTCTGTGTGTCTCTCATGAATAAATAAAATCTTTAAAAACCAAAAATCAGGACTCCTGATTTTCCATCACCAACAGTTCCTCTTTAGTCTTCCCAGGCTCACTCAGTGGCATTACTGTTCACCAGGTAGAAGAGCCACAAATAACTTCCTTCTTTTTCTCACTCCCCACATCCAAAACATTGCCTCTGCCTCCACAGTGTATCCTTATTCTGTTATTTTGTCCTCATTGTCACTGGGTTCCTGGTGCTTCCCGAGGTCAGGCTACATTGTCTGGACTACTACAGTAGCCCACCAGCAGGTCTCTGCTTCTTTTTCTTTTCTTTCTTTTTTTTAAAGAGAGAGAGCTCACGAGAGCTAGCACACAAGCAGAGGTAGGAACAGAGGGAGAGGCGGGGAGAGAATCTGAAGCTGACTCTGTGCTCAGCGTGGAGCCCGATGTGGGGTTCACTCCCATGGCCCTGAGATCATGACCTGAGTCGATACCAAGAGTCCGATGCTCAACCGACTGAGCCACCCAGGTGCCCCAGGTCTCTGCTTCCTTTCTTGTCCAACAGTTTCTTCTCTACCCAGTGTTAATAGGGGTGATAATCTGGAAGAAAAAAATGTCACAGTTCTCCCCTAGGTATAATTCTTCTTTGGGTGTCTGTTGCACTCCGATAAAACTTCAGACTCTATTCCAGGTTCACTGCATGGTGAGTTGAGTCTTTTTTATCCTTTCAGGCCAGGTGAACTGTTAACTGCCTCAGGCCACAGTGGGTGACACAATCTAAATTAAGATGCCTTGCCTGTGGACCTGTCTTATTTTCTTTGTACTAGGAATCACTAACTGAACATTTCTTGTTCATAAACTCATTTATCTGTCTTCCCTCCCTCTCCCTTCTAGGCAGTAATGTTTTTAAGAACAGGGACCTTGTCTGTGTTGTTCATGGAATTTCACCCCTAGAATATTGCCAGGCATTTAATGGATATTTAAGTATGGTTTGAACAAGTGAGTCGTGAGTCTTTGTAATTGGGATGACTTCTCCTTTCTTCTCCAACTAATTTTTTTATGTCTTGACTCAGATGCTGTCTACTCTGTGACCTTCCCTACAACCATCTTTTAAGTACTCTCATGCACCTTGTGTATTTATTTTAAAATTAGTGTTGTCTTTTTTAAAAACCTGTGATCAATGGCCATGATTGATTGGGGAGGGGTGATTGTGATTCTCCTAAAACTGTTGGCAGATTTCTCTGGGTTTGATCCCTCCAGCAGCCTAATAAACACTAAGAAACGCTTTAGCTGTAACGTCTCTAGCCCTGCCCATCAGCTCTTGGCAGCCCCTAGTCAACTCTCTGTCTCTGTGGATTTGCTGTTTTGGACATTTCATATTAAGGAATCATATAGTATGTACTCTCCTTTCAGTTTGAAGCCAGTGTTTTCAAGGTTTATCCGTGTTGTAGCATTGATTAGTACTTCATTTTATATGTGGATAATATTCTGTTGTATCCATCTACTGCATTTTGGTTTTTGTTCATCAGTTGGTGGACACTTGGCTTGTTTTTACCTTTTGGTTATTAATAAATGCTGCTATGAACGTTGGTATACAAGGTTTTATATGGAAATATGTTTTTAGTTCTCTTGGGGTATGGTCCTAGGAGTAGAATTGATGGGTCATGTGGTAACCCATGTTTAACTTTTTGAGGAACTGCCAGACTGTCTTCCAAAGTGGCTACACCATTGACAATGAACTTTTAAGAAACTACACTTGTCAAGTTTTGATGTAGTACCAAAGAACATTATCTGTAATTATTTGAAAAAGCCATTAGGGGACGCCTGGGTGGCTCAGCGGTTGAGCATCTGCCTTTGGCTCAGGGCGTGATCCCGGTGTCCTGGGATCACGTCCCACATCAGGTGTGGAGCCTGCTTCTCTCTCTGCCTGTGTCTCTACTTCTTTCTATGTCTCTGATGAATAAATAAATAAGTCTTAAAGAAAAGAAAAGAAAAAGCCATTAGAATATCCCTTCCAGGGATCCCTGGGTGGCTCAGCGGTTGAGCACCTGCCTTCAGCCCCGGGGCGTGATCCTGGAGTCCCGGGATCGAGTCCCACATCGGGCTCCCTGCGTGGAGCCTGCTTCTCCCTCTGCCTGTGTCTCTGCTTCTCTCTCTCTCTGTGTGTGTCTCTCATGAATAAATAATCTTAAAAAAAAAAAAAGAATATCCCTTCCATTTCAACTACACATCTGTGTGAGGTAGATTTTCCTCATATGCGTCAGCCCAAACAACCTATAGCAACAGGTGAACTGCAAAGGGAGATAGGAGAATCCAGCTGTCTTCTCTTCAGCCAGATTTTAATATTTGATTTTATTTGATCTTATTTGATTAGATTTTAAGATTTGCAGAAAAGTAGTATTTTCTCACCAAATTTGTTTTTTGAAAACAAATCTTTTTTTTTAATTTTTATTTATTTATGATAGTCACACACAGAGAGAGAGAGGCAGAGACACAGGCAGAGGGAGAAGCAGGCTCCATGCACCGGGAGCCTGATGTGGGATTCGATCCCGGGTCTCCAGGATCGCGCCCTGGGCCAAAGGCAGGCGCTAAACCGCTGCACCACCCAGGGATCCCAAAGATCCCCAAATTTGTTTTTTGAAGAACATTTCTTTCACAGACAAAAAACCCTGTTAACATATAATAGGTCTATTATTTTTAGTTGAATAGATAATTTAAGTATTTTAAGAATTTATTTTTTTAATTTCCAATGTGATAAATATCAATAGCCGTGATCCTTATAAACCCACATATCAAGATTCTCAATATAAAGAATAAGAAAGGTCCTTGGGACCCACAACTCAGAGCCCATTCCGGTTGATGCTGTTCATATACATTTGAGTTTGCTCCTCTTGCTCTGCTCCCTGCTGCAATTCTGGTTATCCATCACCCCTGAGCTGTTCGACTAGAGGTGAGTTTGACGTATTTTGCCTAGCCTCAATTTCTCTTTCTGTGAGACGGAGATATTGTATGGAGTGTTTGGGGCCCTGGTGTGTGTGTGTTGGGACTGAATTGAGAAGAGGCCGTGAAAAGTTGTAAGGCTAGGTAGGGTCCCATGCTTTGCTTTGGAGAAACTCTGAAC